TCCACCGCCGTGAATCACCGGATGCCGAACAAAGGTTCACCGGGAGGTACACCCTCAGTCAGCCAAACAAAAGTGTATGGACAAGTATCTTTTGGGGTGAACATGTTTATATCACAAAAAAGAAAGGCTTGGCTGGAATTAACTCACCCTCGCCGCACTCAGCGCTGGATCTGCTCCCGGCGTACCTCAAAGCATCCCGTCGAAAACTGAGGCCAATGTTGAAATTCTCGCTCCCTTTTGCAATTAAGTACCCCCTCTTGGCCATCGAGGAGTCGCTTCCTCAGCTTTCCTCTCTTGCCATAACAATGACCGTCTTACAGCCCCACCATACTGCATGCCCGATAATATTAACGTTGCATACCTTAGTCGCAACGCATTTGTGGGAGAATACACAATACAAGCTGCATTCCCCTTTCTTTTCCACCATCACCATAGCCAGGTGCTTTAATTGATGATCTTGTAAAATATGATGATGTTTTATATTCTTCGGTCTGGCTCAAGATCGTCATAGGCAAATAAGTACATGTCACATCTTCTCCGTCATCTTCTCTATCAATATCCTGTAGTCGTATTCGAGTGCAAGAGTCCTTTGTTACACACGAAAGGCATGCATTGATATGAATGCTATTTGATATGATTTGACCAGTTCCTTTGTGTCTATAGAAAAAAGCTTCAGTAGAACACGTGTAGACTCCCACAAAACTGGGGGGCTGCTCTGATGTGCTGGGACACCTGGCACTACCTAATCGGACAGCCACCCCTGCGACAACAACTATCCATAGTACTGCAGCCGATAACATTATTGGCATCTACGAAGAGGTAATTGCATCACTGCCTCTGTCACTCCATTCACTTCGATTTCTGACAACGCGAGCTCATGGTGCTTGCAGTCATCAAGTTTGCCAAGGAGGTGGTCAGACATGCCAGCTAAAGACAGATCTGCCGAGGACCTCCGGCGCCTTTTTTAGTCGAGGAACCTATGTCATAGAGCGTGACTTTTGGAATATATGAAGCTGCTCGATGCGTTGTTGGCAACGGAAGTCAATTCCTGGCAAACCTCTAGCTCCGCCGACTTGGCCTTCTTAGCACCCGGCAGTTTTGAAGCCGAGATCGCATTCTCATTGAAACGTACTGGTGACCGATACTAGTTGCACCGCCAAACTAGTTGGAGTCCCAGCAAGGCTGGTCCCAGTAAGATCTCTTTGAGCTAAGGTGTCCACTTTCTTACAGCAACGGCTGTCAGCTGGATCTTCGCCAAATCCTTGCCGAAAGACAAGTATGTTAGAAGACTGTACAAGATTGTCTCCAAGAATTCCTAGCCCGTTCGCATAGATCAGGTTGCCGTTAGCATACAAAAGACTGATTCAGTCAGCAGAAGCGACCTTTCTTGTCTGTGGTTGGTAGAACTTCCCGTCTTACATCAGCGATACGATGTAGACAGCGATAACTAATCACTTATCTGGCACATACGCAATCTGCACCTCGGGAGAGACGGGATGGCACAGCCCATAGAAGTCGAATTCTATCCAACTTTCATGGTGAATTTGATCAAAAGCGGACGACTGTCAACGCAGCATCGTCCAATGGAACACCATACAGGCCATGCGATCCCATTTCCAGCCGAACCAAGAAACCCAGTGAAACTATCAATTAACGAGAGCGGCTGCCGTCCCCGACAAGAAACCTTATTGTAAGAAGGTTTTCATGTAACAGTCGAGGTTTTGCAGTAGTCGTATCTGCCGACCCCTCCCCTCCCACATCGACGTCGTCGCGCTAATCAATAACAGCTTAACCCCCGCCAGGTTGCATCGAAATAAGGGGATCAAGCCCGGTCCCGTACCCTTCTCGATGGCACACTCGACGTTACTCCAATCACACGGCGACGTCTCTTCAAAAGTTCAATCAGCATTGCTGCTTGTTGTTAAGCTTCTGAAGTGTTCCCCCGCTCGGACCAAAGCTCGGATACTCTGAATCCAAATCTGTATATGAATAGCCCGTGCCATGTCGCGGCTTCTTCGAGATGAACCTTTAATATTTCAACCGACACGTTTCTGAACTACTATTGAACAGAGTCAAGCCGGTTTTTCTCATTATTTTCAAGAGTTGAGTCTCTTTGCGCAACTTCAAAATGTCTTATAACGAATCATCCAACATGGGCCGAGACCGAGAGATGAAGATACGGATGGCCCAGGAGGCCAAAGCTGTCATCGAGTTTGAAGAGGATCCTCACCGCGCAGCGCTAGAGGATAACCCGTCCGAAGCGAAAGTTGGCATCAAAACATGGATTGCAATTTTTGTAAGATCATTGCGTCTCTGCAGCTTCTCTGGTGAATTTTGGCTGACATACATAGTCTATGGCTCTATCCTTCGGTCCATGTGTCGGACTTGCGTTCCTCACGGTTGCCGCCGTCGTCGTGCAAATTGCTACAGAGCTCGGTGGGCAGGACCAGTTGGCTTGGCTTGTAGGAGCATGGTCTCTCTCGACAGCATGCTCCTTCTCCCTCGCGGGACCTCTCAGCGATGTTTTCGGCCGGAGAATGTTGGTCATTGGTGGCCAAGTCACAGTTGTCATCGGCTCCATCGCCGCGGTGGCCGCGCAGAATATAGGAACGCTCATTGCCGCCGAGACGCTCATCGGCATCGGGACCGGCTTTGTTTTCGTCTCCTACGCAGGTGTTCCGGAGATGTTGCCTAACAAGTGGCGTTCTCTTGGTCTTGGAATCTTGGAATCTGGCATCGCTGTTCCCTGGTAAGTCTGAACATCTGAGCATCTGACCTTTCTTTTCCCGTGTTCCGTGTCGCATGGTTCGAACGCCTCCCCGAGTCAAGGAACTTTCTTTCTTACCCCAAAACCTCGGCACATATATCTGGGTGCCGACTCCAGGCGCCCTGCCGACCGCACCTCCTCCACAGATCTGAACGTGGGGAACCCCCGCACTTCGACTAATCGATCAAAACCTGGGGTGTTCGTCTGCCGAGAAAGAGCCAAGGTAGCTGACATTTAGAATTCACAGGGGCATCCTCTCCGTCCTACTCGGCAATGCATTCTTCAAGTACGCTTCGTGGAGATGGATATTCGGCCTAAGCATCATCATTGAGGTCATTTCCATCGTCGGCACTTGGTTTTCCTACCACCCAACCCCGCGGCCCCGGGGCGACTTTGACAAGACTCGCATGCAGCAACTCAGGGATGTAGACTGGATCGGTCTGTTCCTGTTCACGGCCGGTCTGGCCATTGCTCTCATCGGCCTGACATGGGGTGGCACCCCGGCCTACCCTTGGAATAGCGCCGGCGCCATCGCACCCATTGTCATTGGCTTCGCGGTCTTAGCCGTCGGCTTTGCGTACGACTTCAAGGTTGCTGCTCATCCGATGTTTCCGTTGAAGCTCTTTGTCATGTTCCGTCGTTACTCCGTCCTCCTTGTTGTCCTCTTCGTCTCGGGTATGAACTTCAACTCCATGTCAGCCCTCCTACCTCAAGGATTCCTTTACATGTTTACGACGGATGGCATTGAGATCGGTGCGCTATCACTGCCCAACACCTTGATGATTGGCTTCACTGGTGTCCTTGCACCCCTCATCGCCCACAAAGTTGGCTACATCAAGTGGCAGCTTGTCATCGGCATGGCATTCCAGGCACTGTTCATCGGCGCTAGTGCTGCGACTGTTTACCCGAACCACAAGTTTGCATATGCTTTCGTCCCTGCTTTTGGTGTACCCATGTTCGTCTGGGTCACTATCTTGTCTTATGCTGTTGCTAGCCTTCACGTTCCGCACTCAAATCTGGGAGTGGCAATGGGCTTGTTGGGTACCTTCAGATCAGGAGGTGGCGCCGTCGGCAACGCCATCTTCAACACAATCTTTCAAGAAAAGTTCCGCGAATTCGCTGGGGAAGAAATCGCCAATGCGGCCATTAGCAACGGATTGAATCCATCTGACCTTGGTACTATCATTCCTGCGGCAATCGAGTTTAACTTGGGCAACCCTCAAGCATTGATTAATGTTCCGGGTATCACTCCAGAGATTCAAGATGCTCTGAGAGAGGCCGTACGAGAGGGCGCAGGCCATGCTTTGAAGATTGTCTTCTACATTACGATTCCCTTCAGCGTCATTGCCTTGATCTGCTCTTTGTTTATCGAAGACCCCACGGCATACATGACGAACCACATCCAGTCTGCTATGGGTCAAGAGATGGCCCAAAATCGCGGCAAACGGGCTACCACTCCTGAAGAGGGCCAGGCAATCGAGTTTGAAACTGTGAGGACGGTTCAATCTGAACAGATTGTGGTGAAGGACTAAGAACTCGCCTGAAATCAAGGCGCTCTGGACCTAGGACACTGATCTCGTTCGCGTTCGGGACCTATAAGACATGGGGGGAGACTTAATGTTTACATAGAATCAAGATTTAGGTTGGTATGTATTTTATGTGCGTGAGAAAATACACTGTATATGATATTCACATGATACAAAGCCTGGAAATATGAATATTGACACATAGCTGGCATGTTAAGGCGATTCTCGCTCCGAACCAGACTGCCGGCGTATGGGGCCGCGGATGCCGGCGGCTGATCGGCGGTTGTGACCCCACTCGGGGGTCATCTACCGATCGGTTCGCGCCCCAGCCTATTTCCATGGAAATTCTATGTCATAGCAGGAGCAGGTGTGCTATCAGATAAAATCTCGCTCCTACTACTCATTCTGGTTTGGGAACCCTCAATTGACAGTACATGTGCACATGTACCTCTGGAGCGAGAAGAGACACCGCATTCGAAGCTGTCTCTATTATCTTAAGCATGATCTAAAGATCACAAGTCACAACTTCCAGCAATGACAAGTAATACTCGTTAAACTGATTCAAAGTTTTCATCGATGGGAAAGAAAGAGCGTAATATGTCAAAAGAGCCGTAAAACACTCGGCTCAAATTCATTATCTGCGTGTCCAGCGAATCCTAACGCCTGGCCCTCAATATTCACATGGGCCGTCTAGCCCTCTCGACCCGCTGGCACTGAATGGTATATAAAAGGAAGAGAACGCTCTTATGCCCAAGTCCCCACCACGCCGATTCCATCGTATTGCAGTTTCATTCCATCGTTCTGTTTTCATCTTCTTCCATGGTCGTCAGGGAGTTGAGCTGGGCCAGTGGGTGATGTATGGTGTCCTGAGTCCAATTCGTACCGGGCCTCGGTGGGAGCTTCGTAGATTGGATTTGCGTTGGCTTCGGCAGCGTATGAGTGCGGCTGTGTATGGCCAAGAACCTTCGACTCTTGTCCGCCGTAGTAATCGTTTGCTGGCGAAGGCGAAGAAAGTGTCGAGGCGTTGATCGTACCGGGGCTGTGTTTTCCACCGACCGTGCTGCCATCGTGGCCAAGCTCGTGGTGATGTTCGCTCGGCTCGACAACTGCCTCCTTCTTGGCCTTTCTGCGACGCCACCAGAAGAAGAAGCCAGCACCTAGGAGCGCGATGGCCCCGAGGGAAACGCCCACACCGATGCCGGCGGCGGCGCCCGACGATAGGCCTCCTGAGGACGATCCTGCTCCCGCTGTGGAGCTTGCGGTGGCGGACCCGCTGGTAGCTGTAGGAGTGACGGCGCCCGATCCTGTGCCGGTTGCTGTGGCTGTTGCCGAACCAGTGCTAACGGGGGTAGTCTGAGCTTGTAGGTTAGCCTAGAAGTCCCAGCCATAACTTCGTTGACAGTAAAGAGAGACTTACGTCTGCTGAATAGATGGTGGAATAGGCACCATCGTTGACAGCTTTTGAGCTTGTCATAATCCAGTGCTGAGCAGGTTGACGAGCCGAAACATTATCGGAGCCCTCAATCTCGCTCGACATGAAGAGATTGGATCCTGGGTGAACATCGAGCACATAGCCTGTGCCATTTGCAACATTGGTGAACTTGTATGTGCCTGGTTCGCTTGCCCATTCAGTAACGTCCCATTGCTGAGTCTCATCCGACTCCGTTTTTCTCAAGCACCCTCTTGTGCCACTAGGATGCACCTCCGCCGAGCTCCAGCACACGGAAAGCTGTTGGCTCACGCCGGCCGAGCTCAGTCTCATGAGATACCGGCCGGTGTGATTTGGCACTGGCTGAAATTGCCACACCGCATCTGTCTTGCCGAAAACCCTGAGGCCATTGTTGGTATCTTGCAGGTTGTTGTTGAGTGGTGTTGAGACGTTCGCGACACGCCCCTCTGAGATGGCGTACCAAACGTTCGAGTCCAGTGTCACGGCCGACATTGTCGCTGTCTCGTTCTCGACTTTGTAAGCAGATGCTACAATGACTCGATTGTCGTTGTCGACTGCCTGTTGCTCTATCCGCGTATATGCAGTGTTCGCAAGACGGCGAGTGAGGCTCCAAACGTCAAAATCAACCCAATATCCGAACGATCACTCATCAAGAAATAAAATCCCCAGGAGACGAAAGATGGAAGGGAAAAAGAGGATTCAAAAGGGCAGAAACTCATACAGACATGCAGGGGGCCCCGGACAAGGTGCCGACCCCATTATTAAAAGGCATCAGCATTGGAGGCAGCAGGGGGTCAGATTGACTACACCATCTCAGGCGGAGAGGAGCGGGAGAGACACGCCAGTCAACGGGTGGGCTGGGGATTGGCTTATTTGACACTCCGCCCCTTGACGCCACGAACCAATTCATGAAGGATCATCGTCTCTTGAGGTGGCTCTGCAGCGGTAAATTTGTTCCTACTGGCCAACGAATGATTGGGTACAACGCTGCCGGTGTATCTGTGACACTATGTGGCCAGGTCCAGGAAGGACGAGACTGGCGACATAAGCACACCAAAAGCTCACACCAAAGTCCCCTCAGGACGGCGAGACAGCATAAGATGGGCGTGACGTTCAGGCTACAATGGCGGTCGACGGTCCTCTGCCTGTTTCGCGGAAATCCTGCAGGCCCACTCGCGCCGGCATTTGCTTGGCAAACCTGGGCGTCATCCTGTATACTGAAAGAAGAAAAGATGGACGCGATGCTCGTGATAACCGCGACTTGGACAGAAAATTCACCAAGAGGCGCCAAGTCTGCGTCGAGGCTCCACGGCGTCAAAGCCAACTCTTAGTTCCGATAACCTTAAGAAAGAGTCAGCCACGCCGCCGTTGATGACAAGAAGTGAAACAAAACACAGAGAAGCCAGAAAACCAAAGGTGGGCGATAGCCGCCATTCGAAATTTAGCAGCGGGAGCTCGAGAAACCGAGCCAAACCGCTTGTGGGCGCAATTATAAGATAGTAAGCGCTAGCAACTCAGCCCTGTCTATTTGGGGGCGCGAAATGGTCGTCAAGGCAAACCTGGCACCAGGGAAACCCCAGCTGGGTCGTCATCCCTCACATTCGGCCTTGATTGGATAAGATGGGCGACAACCGCGCCCGTCCGCAGTCGGAGCTTGGACGCTGATCAGTCTGCTCGGATGCCAAAGTCCGACGGGCCTTCAAGATTCAAAGACTTGAGGACGTTGTGGGCACGGGAACACCCCCTCGGGATCCCGTCGGAGTCAATCACGTAAATTGTAGTGCAACCTTGAGGCTACGAGGTTCTGGTTCGTGAGAAAAAGATGAGAAGGCCTCTTCCTTACACAGCATGTTTATCCGTAGGGCCCAGGTTCTCTGCCAGGGCCCAGGGGTAGGTACCCAACAGCCACATGCATGCTCGTGCATTTTGGTTGCCGAGGGCACAGCAATATCCCGCAGGCCTGCCAAGCTCATGCGCCATCTCACCGGGTTCTGCCCGCACGTTGAGGACCACGCGAGAGTTGAGCTTATTGCCGCACCAGCAAGCTCTTTGAAATTATGTCGGATCGTGCTGGGCTTTCAAGGAAGAAAAATCACCAGCATCCCATCATTAGTTGTGTCTGCTGGAGATCATCCTTCCTGATGTCCACCTCATTTTTGCGCGACAGGTCAACAAATGCCAAGGGCTCATAATTCTGACCGATCTTATCTTCTTGGTCGACCGAGTTCCGTTCGACTGCCTTTCAAGTACTACCTAACTCCCCGTCAACTCCTCGTATGACTTCCCATCATTGCCGCTTATTCCCGGGGTTGATCCCGCTCCCATTATCACCAAGCGTTGCGTCGACAGCTACGAAGGGGAGGCAAATGGACTACTTACTTTTGCCGGCCCAGGGCTTGCGTTAGGCATGGTTAGGGAAGAAAAAGTCTTGGTTGCTCAAGGGTATTGGCCTGCTCGCATTCGTTAGATCCTACGAAGGCTTTTGCGACTGATCGGCTCCTCCTGGAGTGGCCAGACGAAATCTGACAGACACGGCTTCCAAACAAAAAGGTTTTAGAATCCAAGACAGTAGATTTGGGCCCCTGGAGATCGGTGTGCATTCTGACCAGGCCTCCTTCTTCTTCAAGAAGACTGAACTCTATGCAATGAGAGGCGGGTTCAAACGAAGCTGTCTAGGTAGTTCGGTCTACCTCGCTTTTGCCCCATTTTTTCAACTTCGCTTGCGGTCTGGAGCAGTCCTTGATTTGCAGAATCATTGACTTGGCATCAGCTTCAGCGGATGCTCTTCCGGCTGACTGCATTGCTCATTTCCACTGTGGTAACGGAACTTGACTTCACCATAACGCGCGAGTTCTCAACCCAGTGGGTAGATTTGTCATCGTCGCGAGCCTGATGTCATCCTCTTTGATGCGGTTTTATCGTGCAGGTGAGCGAGCTCTTATTTAAGTTAAACACATGGACCACAGCAAGACTCTCAGAGGCAATCATCCCTTCAATCACTGTAGCTTCCTCTCAAGCTGGCTTGAGGAGATTGTCGGCGCTTTCGCAGTGCTTTTGTTTTCTTTTTCTTCCTGAGATATCCTTTAATAATTTTATGAACAAGCCTTGGCGCTTGGAGGGTGTGACATCAACCAGTGGAGCTGAGCTCACCAGATTGACCCATTTCAATGAGGTTCATTAGGCAAATCCTGTCTCTCTCATATCCGCCAATAGCCCTCTCAGATCAGCACAAACGCGTATTTGATTGAAGTAGGTGCGCGGGCTCTCCGCGTACTCTAGTCAATCCACTCATACACTGGATGAGACTGATTCTTCCTGCTGAAGTAAAAGTCCCAGGTCAATCTCAGACCGCACGCTTTCATCAGGTCAAAAACGACAAAAGAGAATCTTTGGACCGGCTGCACCAGTAGACCTGAAATAATGACGTGTCACCCATATTTCAGTCATCATCCACATCACTGGTCCATCTCGCTGCATACAGGCTTGATCGGGCAGGAGTAATGTCTAAGGCTACAGAAAAACAAAGATTCTTGACTCCGCCGTTAATTTCTGTCGTGTGTTGTTGTCACCGTCACTGCTTTTGTATTGTTATATATCGGAGTGGCTATGCAAAGTGTTGTTTTCGTTTCGCTCTGTTTCTGATACATGTACTCGCCAGGTAGGTACTAACAACTGTTTAAGGTTATGGTGTTCTAAGGACTCGATGCTGATACATCATACAATTGTATACACTGGGCAAGGCATTTATGAAGTACTTCATTCCTTGAGCATAAAGAGTTGGAATCCGTCCTAGCACATGGTGCTCTTAGAAAGTGCAGCATTCATTTCGCGGTGTATCTGTGGTCGACTTGATAGCCTCGAATATCTTCTTGTCTTGGCATCTAGACTTCCTCGGCATGAGCCATGGGTTCAGCAGTCAGAACCTCAGCGGTACTAGGTACAATGATCGTGAAGCCCTATTCCTTCATGTTATCGTTGGACTACTAGCCACAGGTAAATTACAAGTTTGTGGTGTTACTTATGATGGTAAATGTAGATAAGTAAATCAGCAGGCGCGAATTACTTTGGACGTTGAAAAAGTTCATCGGCGACCGCGACTGGAATCTCGGCGAGGTGTTGGCTATAGCAATGGCCACAAGATTTCATCTTTGGAGATCGGTCGGAATCCGCCATCAAACACGTAGAAAGCAACCTAGTAGACAATATTACAACTTGATAATCAAGTCACGACTCAAAGAGGACTTGACACTCACGATGATCAAGACTAGACAGATACGAGCTCGAAAATGGCATTTTGTCTCAAATCCTGTACTTTGGAAAGTTGTGTCTGCCTGGAAGGGTCTTATTGAATCTCAACCCGAATCAACACCCCGGAACCATAAGATCGCGAAAAGAAGGAGCAAGTCAAACTGCGTGCCTAGGTACTCTCTGTATATCTGGGAAAGATTTAAGGTTGCCTTCTGTTTGCTTCACCACGACCTACCACTTCCATTCAGACAAAACAAATCAAGGTACGTTCAGATAGTCCTGGACATGGCATTGAAGGTACGGATGTTTGTTGGACGTGAGCTGCGAATGGGGCGGAGTCATAAGCCCTTGAATAAACTTCAAGTATGCACCAGCATCGCGGATTGAACGGCTAGGTAAGAGCGGGCCGGGAATTTTAGATGCTGTTGCATATCGTGTAAAAGAATGGATCAACCCATGCTGTGCTTCCTGTTTCAAGTTTTCTTCTGCTGAGACATGTTGCGCCATGCTCGAGAGTTGCCAATCTGCAGTCGACAACGCTCAGTCCCAACATTCTCTCCTAAGCCGACGACCAACCATTTGTACTTACAGGATGTCAGAGGCATCTGAAGTCGTTGTTGAATACGCGTACGACCACATGCCGACATGGTACCTACAGTGGGTCGACAATTAGAGATCACCGCGGGAAAGATACACCAAGAGGCTCCTCGAGAAATTGTAACCCTTACCTAACATCCCAGAGCTTGGTTGTGTTTCTGGAGTTCCTATTTCAAAGGTGAGTCGATAGCTACCACCGGTGCACAAGTTATTGCCAATGACGTCTCAATCAAGCAAATCAAATTGGCCCAAGCCCGTTTCCCAAAGGTCAGGCTAGTATCGGGCGACATGCTCACACTCACACCAAAGCCTGAGAGCTTTGATGGTACAGTCAGCTTTCCTATTTCATCTTCCGCAGTCGAAACTGAAGACTATGTTCACAAAGGTCACAAAGCACTGAAACCCAGAGGAAGTCCTACGCTTAGCCTTGCAACTATCGATGAGGAGGAGATATATGGCGAGTTCCTTGGATATGGAATGTTCTGGAGCAGCTATGGCGTGGGCGGGAATCAAACACTACCGAAAGAGGCCGAATTCGACATCATGAAGGTGGGAGTGTGTAAACAGGCGATGTGAAGCTTGAGGAAGACGATCGATAGTTCGATGCTGAATTTATGTGGGCTATGGTTTGAAAGGAAGATGCTCCAGCTAGACCCAACGAGGTAGCGACGGTGAAGCCGGACGAATAGCTCATATGTAATTGATCATGGACACAATTGAACTGAGATCTAACATGAACAATGATCGGACTTTTTGTAGCACTGCTCTCGACATTTTTGCTTTCGTGGTTCAAATTCAACGTTCTGTTCAAGTGAAGCAATTGCAAAATGCCTCTCCATGGGTCAGGCTTCTACTAGATAAAGTACTTCTGCAATTGACAATGCCTCAAACTTCCGGA